CCCAAAACCCCAAAACCCCAAAACCCCAAAACCCCTGGGAGCAATAATATTGTTGATGTTTTGGAGAATTAAGGATTTATTAGTTTAGAAAAATATAAGTTACTCATAGGCTTAAGAAATTTTTGAAAAGTCTGCTATTCCTTCAAGGATTTATCTGGTAGTCTCAGAAGCTAAGGGACTATCAGATGGAGCTTTTAAATTTTATAGACTTTTCTTTTAATTCAGACTTTTTTATTTCTAAACCCAATTTCGCCAAAACAGAATATTTGGCTATACCGCCCTTGTAGTCATTCATATAAATTTATGGTCCGGGAATGAATTTTAGGACCAGAAAATCATCTCTTGCATTATTTATCATAGTAGGACTATTTCTTTGCTTAAAAATTAAGCTCTAATTGTGATAAATATTTCGAAATTCTGCTGAAATAATTCTTGGTATGTTAATAGAGGTCACTATTAAGATAGAGAAAGTTGTAAACTCCTAATTTTAATAATAGAGAGACTTAGTTCCAGCTTCTCTCTTCAATGCGATTGAGTGATGCTTCATTTGCTATATATCCCAGATAGGGATAGACTCGTGTTGATGAGGTATCACATAAAATTAATAAAGTATCTTCGAATAATTTCGAATACCTTTTCCTTGCGAAGACCAAGAAATCTAGCTAGTGCACTTAGAGAGATTATTTCTCTTTATTAATTTTATTAAACAATAGTGTTCATTTACCCCAATATTATTACAATTATAGCATTCAAAATGTCTGCTAAATTATTAGTAGATAACATTGATCTTCAAGTTTGGAACAAGATAATGTATAGCACTATCCCATCATCGAGGCTACTGATATATAAGCTGGATGAATTCTTAATGATGCCTCAGCACTCTATTTCAACCAAGGATTTAGAGAAAAATAACTTACTTTTTTATGACTCAAAAAGAGTTATTGGTTGACAACTAATTTCGTATAAATGTTAAAGTTGAAATCAAGCAACAAAATTCTTAAGCTATATTAATCTTTGTTTATTGTTTAGCTAAGTGATTGCTTCAGGCATCTAAAAATCATCTCTCGGAGTTAAAGATAACCCTTAGAAGATATTTTCAAAATTTAGAGAACAAGAAAGCTTTCTGAATAACTTGATTAAATATTTTGAGAATGCTCACCAAGAATTGAGTTTAGTAGAAATATTATTGATGAATTATAAGCTTAATTTGAGGACAAATCTGCAGATTTCACATCTCTCATTGTCACAGTCTTGTCAGTAGGACGATGAGCAACAGAAAGTCTTGCTCTGCTATTCTTCTCTCAGCATGACAAATTCCTTATCAAAATGGCTTTCTGAAGTAAGCTCTTAATCTCTGTTTGAATTGAAGACTTTGAGACAGGCTTCAACTTTCTTTGCTCTTTCTGAATAGCATAGCTATCTGATTGTTCAAGAGAATTATCTATCACTAGTGAATTCTTACAAACAGGCTGCGAGTCTAATCAGAGCTCACCTCCTGCTACTTTTGTTGCCTTTACTCTGAGACTAAACTTGCTTTCAGCCATGTTTTTTTCAAGGTTCGGAGATGTATTAATACTGGAGACTGAAACATTTTCATCCAGAAAATCTTCAGACAAATTTTCATCAAATAGGGAAAAATTATTCATAAATATTATTTATATAATTCCAATAGTTCTCTCTTATGGGGTTTTGGGGTTTTGGGGTTTTGGGG